CAGACTCACTCCCTGAGTCATGAGTGCTTCAGCCCAATCTTCCATTTCCCTCCCCCCCATACCATAAGGCAGCTTACAGATTTCTTGGGAGTTACAGGATTTCACAGAATTTAGTCCCTATGCATGCAATCCCTTAGCAAACACCTTTTTATGCTCCTCCTAATATTCCTATTTGGGTCTCAAATAATGTATGGCCACCCATTTCTCTTAGAAAACTTGCCTCCAACAGACCCTGCTCCTCTGGTTGACTACCTACCTTATCTTAATCTCAGGGAACTTCTGAGTGAGCATGCAGACCAGATCCTGCCCCACCCTATAACAATTTCTGTTAAACCAGGGGGTCTTGTTCTCCTAAAAGGATCTTCTACCCTCTCCATTGGTAGTGGACCAGCCCTCATCTGGTCATTCTCATGACACCCACTGCTGTCAAGCTCAATGGGATCTCCCAGTGGCAGCAGCTCTTAAGGAACGGACTCTTAAAACCCTCTAGAGAACAACATTTCGCAGTGGTTCTTCTGGCTAATGCCCATCCTAATGCCTATATTTCTTGCTTTCTTATTCTTAAGCTTCCTCCCTTGTATCATACTATATGTCTGCTACTGCTAATCAAAAATTTAACCAGTTGTACCTCCAGGGATATAACCTCTCCAAAACCACCTGAAAAAACTACTGTGAAGGCCCCATCCAGGATGCCACAGGAGCCTGAGGATCCTGCCCCATACAGTGCCCCCTGCCAGCAGGAAGCAGCTAAGAGGCCAAAGCTTCACACCAATTCCCAATCCTCAGCCCCTAACCCCATCATTATTAAGAAAAAATGGGGGAATGATAGAACAATAATGTCGCCATTTCTAAATTGGTGGCCATTTTACCCTCAGACCTCATTTGAGAAACTCCCAAGGATAAATTCCCATGCTCTAAGACAGCCCCAACCCTACCAGAGACTGCCACGCATGCACTAACTTCCTTAACCTTCCTCTTCTATAAAAGCCACGCCTGGCCAGCTGCGCCATCTTTTCCCTGGCCAGCTTGGCAGTTTGGGCCTGCCATTAAACTTTCTCTATGGACGTGAGATATTTCTTGTGAGCTTTCTTTGTGAGTGGTGTTTTTCCTAACTATTGACTAGCGATCCTTTGGATATATGCCCACAAGTGGTAGAGTAGGCTTGTCTAGTAGTTCTTTCTTTACTTTTTGAGGAACCCCCCCAAAAAAATTCCATGGTGGCTGTGCTAATTTACATTCCCACCAGCAGTATATAAGGCACCCCCCTCCACACACACACACCCTTGGCAGCACTTGTTTTCTTGTAATAGCCATTCTGACTGGGGTGAGACAGAATCTCAGTGCTGTTTTGATTTTCATTTCTTTTATGGCTAAGGATGGTGAAAAATTCTTCATGTATGTGTTTGTCATTTGTATTTCTGAGAACTGTCTGTTCATTTCATTTGCCCATTTATTCATTGGATTCTTTGTTCTTTTGGTGTTTAATTTTCTGAGCTTTTATATACTCTGGATATAAATCCTTTGTCTAATGACTAGCTTGTGAAGATTTTCTGCCATCCTGTGTGTTGTCTCTTGGTCTCATCATTGCTTCCTTTGATGTGCACAAGCTTTTAAATTTGATGCAATTCCATTTGTCAATTCTTGCTCTTATTTCCTTTGCAACTGGAGTCCTTATCAGAAAGTTCTTCCCATGTCTATATCTTTAAGTGTTCTCCTATGTTTCCCTGCAGCAATTTCAAAGTTTCAGGGGTTGATCCATTTTGAGTTAATTTTTGTACAGAGTGAGAGATAGGGGTCTATTTTTATTCTTCTACACGTGGAAATCCAGTTTTCCCAATACCATTTGCTGAAGAGGCTTTTTTTCCCTCAACATTTGCTTTTGGCATCTTTTTAAAAAAATCAGATGGCTGTAGCTGTATGGGTGTTCTATTCTGTTCTATTGACCCACATTTCTGGTTTTTTTTTTTTTTTTGCTAGCACCATGCTGGTTTTGATACTATGTCTCTGTAGTACAATGTGAAGTCTGGCATTGTCATGCCTAAAGAATGATGGCCAGTGGAGGACAGAGTCCCAATGGATCTATGGGAAGGTAATCTCAGTTCAGATTATGTTTTTGGAACATGTGAGTATAGAGAGGTCCTATATTCCCTTCACTAGTGACATGTTATATAACTATAGCACATTGTCCAAACCAGGAAAGTGATATCAGTAAAGCACAATAGCTAGGCTACAGAGCTTTGTGGAATCCCACCATTTTTTTTTGCATGCTCTAATTTCTGTGAGTTCATTACCTGTTCAGGTTCTTAGAAACACAGAGAAAATTAAGAAAGAGACTTGTCTGTCTCCATGAAGCACCTTGTGGTGCTAATCCTTCAGAGTGAGTTCTGTGTCTTCCCCAAGCCCAAGCAAACAAAATTATCTATAATTTTGTCATTTCTACAATATTTAAATAATTCCACATTTAATAAATGGACTTGTATAGTATGTAATGCTTTAAGATTGGCTTTTCAAAAAAAATTCTCTTCACCTAATCCCCTTTCCCTTTCATGCCTGGGGAAGCATAGCTCACAATGAAGTCCTTCCCAGTCTCCCTGCAGTGTCAGGACCTGCTTCAGAATCCTCACTCATATCCTTCTCATACTCCTCCTGTTCCCCCTCCCTCCACACATCTGCTCTTTTCCTCTCCCCCCTCCTACTTATTCCATCACATCTCCTTTTCTTCTCTCTGATATGTTTGTTTCCCTCTTTAAAAAATGCTTGCAAGTACACTGGATTCCTACAAATAATCCCAGATAATTGGACCATCTGCTAATCCTTAACTGGATTAAACCTGCAAAGGCCCACTTATTATGTAAGGTAACATAATCACAGCTTATTGGAACCAGGAGGTGGATATTTTTTGGAAGGCCATGTTTTAGCCTGTCACAAGTTGAGACCTGAAAATTGCGATCACAATGTATGAGGAGATTTGAAGACTCTTAACTCCAGCCCATATCTCATGGCTCCTCTGATGCACAGTCCCTTCTGGAGGCATCTGGACGGCCCTTGGTACCCATCTCTTCAGGCCCCACTCTCACTAGACAAGCAAGACTGGAAGTCAGTGTCCACATCCCTGAGGAAAATGAATAGAAAGGACATAGACAGCACAATTGCAGACCTGGTTCATGATCAGAGCTCCACATATGTGGAGATGGTATGCAGAGTGGCATCTAAAGATGAGTGACAAGGAGAATGGGACATAGTTTTGAATTCCCTGTTATGATCATTCTCACAGGACACCATTCACTCTAGAGCAGGCTGTAACTGTATGTGCCCAAGGTGGGCCTTGCAACCCTTGATGAAATGCTGGCCACTTGCTTATGACATCCAAAGCCACATGAAGAAGAAAAAGAGGAAAGGGAAAAAGAAGAAACAGAGGAGGAGTGGGAGGAAGATCAGCAGGGAAAGTAGGGTTGCCAACCCCTCCACCTTCTACCAGTCAGTCAGTGTTCTCCAATGGAATCTTCCAAAGTGATTTCAGAGCTGGGTTCACACTGAATTAGGAGCACTTTGTCAGGGGGCTGAAATTGTTTATGGAACAAATACTTTAAGTGAGACACCAAGTCTGGAGCCACAGACATCCTGGGTGACATTTCTTTGATGTCACAGATCAAATTGAGCTGTTATATAGCAGATCTTAATGCTCTCAAGTGGGATGGTGTCTGCTGCATCTTGGAGTTACTGACCCCCTACTTCTCCCCCTCGAGTTGAGTCTGCAATCCTGCCCTGGTTGCTGTGCCCTAACTATAGTCAAGAGTCTCTGAACATTACAGTAATTCCACACACCCATGGGGCCATGCCTCAAGTGGACATTATCTGGTTCTGTATCATGCAGTGGTTTTATCTGACTGGTTAGGTAAGGTTGTGCTGGAAAGTGGAGAAGAATTAGAAGCATGGGAGTGTAAAGAAGAAAGATGACTAAACAATGACTTTAAACAAGGAAGGCTGGTCTCTGGTATTGATTGTTGAAAGGTCAATTGGTTTTACTCTTGGATGTTCCTGAGTTCCTGATGTTGAAAGCAGTGCCCCTGCTCTAACCTTGGTTTCCTTACCTGACAAGTCAGAGCTCACAACTATGTACCACATTACATGTTGATTTGAAAAGTATGGAACCAATTTAGATCTTTTGGAAATGATTAGAAAACCCCACACAAATGGAGAAGCATATGCAATGCACTGTTGTGTGTGGGTTCTATGTAGTCACCCACCGTCCTTCTCTCAAAAGCTGGTGTAGGTAGCCAGAAAACCCATGTCATTGGCCCAAGACAAACAGGCTCCAATGGAAGGGTCACATTGGCCTATGGAGATAAGCCCCACTTGCAAAAACTTCTTGCCTGTGGAAAAATCAAGAAGCCTGATAGCAATCCAGATGTGATCTACTAGTTGTGGGACTGAGGTCCATCAGTGAACTTTGTCTCCTCTACTCAAGGTGCCTTGGATCTTAGAACATGGACTCTTTCTGGGAAGATGCAGGAGGGCTTCTGAGAGGAAGCAATGCTGGAAGAAGCAGGTGTTTGTGACTGAAGAAGCCATGTAGGCACCTGTCTAGAGGCCACGTGGGCAGGACACTCAGCAACAGCATCACGGTGAGGCTGCAGTGAGTCCAGGATGTGGGGAGACTGTGCTGCTGGAGGGGAGGTGGGTGAGGCAGGTATCCTAGAGGGAGTTCAAGTCCTGAAGGTGCAGAGAGTGATCTGTGAAGGGTCTCACACTGTCTTTCAGACAGATCCCCTGACCAAGATGGGTTGGGCTGAAGGACTCAGAATGTCAGGCTAAGGTATCTCCTCTGTGTTGGTCAGCAAGAATGGTGAGGCTGAGGGTGGCACCCAGTAAGCCACCTGTTCAGTTGTTGTTTTCATCATGAGCTTCTCAGAACTCTGGACTTTCAGTTTCCCTTTCTGGTGCCTGGATACATCTACCCCAGAGGATGTATGTGGTTATAACTCAGACGCACCGCTTGTGACAGGATCCACACAGCTAAAGGACAGTTGGGTCCCATCCAAACTCAGCCAGGGGAAGATTCCCATGGTAAGTAGGGGACCATATGCCCTCCCCCAGCTCCTCATCTTACAGGAGCTCTGGAGGAGAAGAATTAGTGCCTCTATTTTTTAAGATGAGCTCAGAGAGGTTAGCAATCCTCCCCAGGTCACACCATTAAGCAGTAGCAAAGTCTAGATTTATACTCAGGTTTGTTTCTACCTGCTCCTTCCTCCCCTACCCTAAACAGCAGAGGGGCTGGGGAACCAGTCAGATGGGATTACAAAGCTACAAAGGATCAGTTCATATACCAGGATCCTAGGAAAGGGCCAGGTGACCCCACAGAGAAGGTGGTTATCGTGGCTCCACCCTCTGGGAAATGGGGAGTCAAAGGACATGAAGGAGGGCAGGGGACCCTAAACCACCAGTGCTTGTGTCCTGGGCGCCCTGACGCTGGGCCTGGGCTCTGGTGCTGAGGTATGATGTGGGTTAAGAGTTCCTTTTGAGATACAAGGATCCCAGGGGTTTCTCATCCAACCTGTCTCTGAGCACCTATTCTTTGCCAGGCCCTATGGGGAAACTGAGTTCCCCGGATGGGAGTGACTTGACCTGGAAGGAGGCTGAGCAGACCTGCCTTTGTTCTCAGCTGGCTTCTACTCATCTGTAAGAGATGGAGGAAGGAGGCAGAGGCTGTCTTGTGTGTCCAGGTGGGGAAGGTAACCAGACGTGAGGACTGAGAGGGGTGTCCTCAGTACCTTCCTGGTTTTGCAATCTTAAGAGCATAGGTCAAGGTGTGGATGGGTGTGTGTGGGCCTCTGTGCCTGCAGAAGCAGAAAGAAATCTAGAAACTGCTGGATTATTAAAGTCACACATTTTTGCTTTCATCTTAGGGCCAGAGGACCAGTATTGGCCTCTCATCTGCCCAGGAAGAGCTGTGTAGTGTTGGCAAATCACTCTCCTTCTGTGAGTGTCTGTTTCTTTACCTGATAGATGAATTAGGGATTCCCTGCCCTGCTGAGCCCTAGCAGGCTACTGTCCACTTCTGGGGTGGGGTGGAGGACAGGCAGTGGCAATGAGGGGACAGCAGCATTTGGAATACAGGTGACACAGGGCTGTGGTAAAGTGGGGGAGCAGGAATTCACTACTTTCTCAGATTCAGGTGATGCTGTGAGTAGAAAATGGGCACAGCTTGTCAGGTCCTAGAATTCTTGAGTATTTGATATGAAAGTAGTAAAAATTACATTTAAATTTCAGCAACCTGGGAAAATTAAACCTCATTTATGCCAACACACACATGTGTGCAATGTACACATGGAGGTGCAGGCACACTCACACTTGGTTGTCTAATGTAGCTGCATGAACCCATTTCCATGTGCGTGTCCTAGAGTGTGTCCCAGGACTCCCCTCCTGGGTGCTCTACTCCAGGTCACCTTCTCTTCATTCTGTTCAAGGAGGCACAGCTAGCTGGGCATGGTGGACTCTGATTTGCCTGTGTGCTCCCTCGGGGCTGGATGGCTACTTCTTTTCTTGTTTTTGGTGCTGAAAGCAAAGGTGCTCTGAGCACCACCCTAGTAGCCTTGCACGGTTTTGTCCCTCACACACTTCCCTCAGTTGTCTATGGGTAGCAATCTGCAGGACAGGTGCTGGGCTGTTCCTCGGGCTCATTTTAAAGTTGGCTAGATTGATTGATTGTTCTCCAAAACTCTGAATTAACCAATCAACCACAAAGGGCGCCAAATTGCCCACAGCTGGCCAGCATTGGACGGCATTGGGTCATTTCATGTTTGACCAATCTGTTAGTTTAAAAATGCATCTTTTTGTGTTAACTTGATTTGATGGGAGATGTGAGGCTGGAGAGGGCTGGGAGGGGAGATGGGTCCTTCAGTGTTACCTGAGGGTGGAGGCTTCTGAATGCCTTGCTAAAACCCTGCCACTTTTCAGACTGTAGCTGGTCCTATGTTTTTCAAAATTTTCTCTTTTCTTATCATATAAAAATATTAAGGCTGGAGGAAGGAAACAGCAAGAAATAAATGGAGACTCTCAGACATTGGCTAGAACTGCCTAAAGTACGTGAAATCAGCAGCCATTACGTAACAGTGGAGTCATAACCCTATTGGTTTACCCAGAAAGGGCTATTTGTGGAGAGTAAAGAATACCAAAGGGAATTACTCAGCTAGGAGTAAAGGTGAACTTGGGTTGTGTTCTACAGGCTGGTGGCTTTTATGTGCACTGAATACTTCCTGTTCCCCTGATATGGCCAGGCTGGGCACTGGAGGGTGGAGCTACTCTGGTTGGTCCCAGGCAGCAGCGCTGGGCTGAAGTGAGGATCACAACTGGGTCCTGGCTGGGGTGCACCAGGTGTCATAGGGAGAAGTACCCCAGGAAAGCCCAACATTCCAGGGAGTCTGGGAGGGACTGGGGTGGCCAGCTGGGAGGAGTGGCTTATGAGTGGAACTTCACACAGAGGGGAAGGCATTTTAGAAAGGGGTGCAAAGGCCAGAGGCCTGGAGGTGGGGGAGCAGGTCAAGGTTAAGGAGGCAGGGAGGCCTGGAAGCTGCATCTAGGGGGTGGTGTGGATGTGGAGTGGTGAGGAGTAGGCAGGAGGACTGGGCAAAGGGGCTCAAACTTGACCCTGGAGATTATCAAAGATTCCTCAGGAGGACCATGCTCCTTAATCGCTTCTTCCCTTCCTAAGCCGCGGGGAAAGAGAGGCCTTGCAGAGAATCCCTGGGCTGCCACATTAGCAGAGCTTGGGCCCAGCTGCGGGGAGGGAGAGCCATCTCCCTGGACGAGGTGGTTGTGTTGTCCAGAGCAGGGCGGTGCAGGCACCATCTGAGCTTCCTCCTAGGAGCTCCCCCATTCTGCCCTTTTCTCCCCAATGGCTTGGGGAATGGAGCACAGATTCATCCAGTGAGGCTCACTGTGTGCTGATCCAGCAGGAGTTGGAGCAAGATCTAGGGAGACAAGGAAGGATGACAGTCAGGAATCGGACCCATTTACCAATGCGTGTGGCACTCAACACCTGCCCAGTGTATCACCTCTCTGGGTTGGTTTTGGTCTTGTGCCTCATGATATCAAAATGCTGCCCTGTCTCTAGGGTCATGTGCCTTCAAAGCAGTAAATAAGAGGAAGGGGCAGCCAGCCCCATGTCAATGTGTTCTTTGTAGTGTCACCCTCCTGGAATCCCTCACAGACCTCCTCTTGTGTCTCATTGGTGACATTATGTCTCAGTCACTGTTAGCTGCAAGAGGCCTCAGGAACCAGGCACCTAGAGTTTCAAAGTCCAAGACCGGAGGCAGCCAGAGGGATGGGGGAGGGGAGTGGCTTTTCACTGGGTTAGAAGGCACTGGGAACTGGGGACCATTGTGCTGTGAACATGGATGTGTCGTGGAATAGCCAGAGTCACTGTGAGTTGGAAAAAGAGAGGAACCTGCTAGGAGACATCTCCCCCTTTGGCTGGCCTGACAGGGACACCTCACATCTTTCTTCCTCACAGGACAGAAGTGATGTGTGTCTGTCCATCTGTGTCCTCCAGCCCAAGGCCACCAGGTACCCTCCTGACTCAGTTGACCAAGTGGAGTTGATTAGTCTCAGTGAGGGAGAGGGCACCCCGTGGAGATCCACGACCCTAGTGACAGGACATTAGAAAGAATCCATTATAGGATTAGGTGACTTGGAGGAGGGTCTAGATTGTGTGTAGCAGTAAGTGAGAGGCAATTCTAGTCATAGTTATCTTAATAAAGCTATGTACAGAGAGAGGAAAACAGGGTGAGGATAAAGCTATACTTTGTAATGAAGCTACAGTTCATTTTTTATAACGAAGACAGGGTGTCTCAGTCTGTTCCTCTGACTAGAATAAAACACCTGGGGTCAGGTAACTTATGAGGAATTGAGGCTTGTTTAGCTGTCTTTTCAGGTGCAGGCATCTGCCTTGGTGTTGGTGAGGACCTTGTTGCTGGGTCAGACCATGGTGGAGGGTAGCATGTGGTGAGACAGAGGAAGAGAGCTAGCTCAGGTCTCTTTTCCTCTTCTTAAAAAGCCATAAGTTCCATCATGGAAACCCCACCCTTATGATCTCATCCAGGCCTAGTTACCTCCCAAAGGCCCTGCCTCCAAATTCCAAACCTATGAATGTGAGGATTAAGTTTCCAGCAAATGGAACTTGGGTGACACATTGCAACCATAGCAAAGGAGTGCTTGGCATTATGTGGGTGGCAAGGAGACCTTGTTTTTGTCTGCACTTAGATAAAATTATGTTCTGTCTCATTTTATCATGGCGTCGGGCAATCCTGTCTGATGTTGATATTGTGTGAGGTTATTTGTGTACAAAGAATGTCGTGGCCCAGCTGAGCATCCAGGCCAGCCAGAGCGTGTCAGGGGCTGCTGTTTCTTTCTCAACACTTACAAACAGACACATAGATAAACAGTAGGAAAGTTATCATATTTATTATACACACACTCAGGTATTACATATAACGTACTTACCTTATATGTGGCTGTAGTACATGTGGTTTTGACCAAGATCCACCAAAAGATACTAAATACAATACAAAAGAAATTTAAAAATAAAAAATTTTAATTCTCTGTGTTTATGGACTGCAGCTCAGTTGATGAGAGAAGTTCTCAGTTGGGCCCGTGTTGTTGTCCTTTGTGCTTAAATCATTGTGTGATCTGCTGAGTGTTTCCTTGCCCTTAATTTTCTGAAAACCTGCCTCCCCAAAAGCAACTGATGCCTGAAAGGAAGGTAAAACTTACGGTAATGTTCCCTAGTGAAAAGGGGCACATGTTGTCTTTAATTTAAGTGATAGTGGAAATTTGAGATTTGTTGAAAGAAGGTGTCTTTACTGGAAATTGGGCATTGTTACAGGAAAAAATGAATGAGGCAAAGAGCATGAAATAAGATCTAGTATTTGGTGAACAGTGTTAATGTGTACAACAGTAATTTCCTGACAGTAATGTGGCCTACTCCATGTGGTTACAAGTTGTGGATGCTCAGGCCTACTGTACACATTGCACAGGGAAACAGTAATTTTAGAGCTCTGAGATCTATG